CACGTGAGGCGAGTGAGCTGGGCTGTGGCTAGGCCCCTCTTCCTGCACCACAGCTGCACACCGGGGACACCGGGGGCAGTGAGAGAAGGGGGCTGGCAGGGGGGCAGCAGGCCCTGCGTCCCAGGCCTGGCATGACGGCTCACTGGCAGGGGCACGTCCCACCATGTCTCCAGAATCCCTGGTGGGTGGGGGAGATACCTATTTGACAACTGGTGGTTTTCAAGGCTGGTGTGCAGAAAAAGGCAGGTGCCCTCCAGGTCACCCAGGGCAGTGAGAGGCCAGGCCACTCTGAGGACAAGTCTGCGACCCACAGGCCTCGTGGTCCACACAGGTCTGGGTGGTAGTTTCCTGGCATTGGAGCCGGTTATAGAAAGCTCACCTCAGCCTCAGCTCCAGGAGGCCCAGCTGAGCCTCCGAGGCTGGTGGGAGGGAGAGAGAGGCAGAGAGACAACAGGGCGCCTGGTGGTCACCTCCAACTGACACCACAGCGACCTTTTGGGCTGGAGTCTTGGAGCCCAGGGGCCTGGTTACAGATCACAGCTCAGCCACCGTTTCAGGGCAAGTGACCCAAACCCCCGGGCTTCGGTTGAAGACCACTGACCACAGGGTTGGTGCGTGAATCTCAGGATGCACAGCCCGAGGCATCAGGAGAGCTGGGCGCTGCCTTCCTCAGCCCTGTGTCCTGGCTCAAGGCCCTGCCTGAGCTCCTCCCTCACAGCCCCGCCCCCTGCGAGAAGCAGGGTGTCTGGGGCCTGCAGGCTCCTCCCCTTTTACCCCTTCTGCGCATCAAAGGGGGGCGGGCCAGGGGGCGGGGTCAGCCATGCTTCAGGGGTGGAGCCCTCCCCAACCAGGATGCTCCCTCCAGCCCAGGCTCCTGGGCCAGCCCTTCCTGTCGCCAGTGCCCAGCGGCCTGTGGCTGGCACCTGACCTTCTGGGGACCACAGGGCAGGCCCCCTCCGGTGGCCCCGGCTCAGGGAGGAGCCAGCCCGCCATCTAGGGTCTCTGGGGAAGGCTGCCTCCAGGGAGAAGAGTCGGCAGGGATCCCAGCCTCTGTGCCTGGCACCTGGCCAAGCGTTTATGCACATTATCACATTCTGTCTCAACAGTCCCTGGAGATAAGGGCAGTCTTCATCTCAGCAGATAAGGAAACTGAAGCTGGGGAGGTGAAGCCACAGCTCAGTGGAGCTGGGAGGAGACCCCAGGTCCAAAGCCCACATGTGAGTGGAAGCCTGTCCTCCACTGGGAGCCGGCCAGGCCTGTGACATCCACACTCGTGTTCACACCGCCTGAGAGCCCACAGCCAGGCCTTCATCACGGCCTGCCCCGAGAAGCAGGAGAAAACCAGTCCCCAGGGATGCAGAGCCAGAGACCCACCTGTCTCCTTGCTCAGGGCACTCGCAGGGCAGGAGCCGACTAGAACCCAGGCTGCTGCCCCCTGCCCAGGGCTCCGCCTGCTGATGGGTTGACGGCTCAGGGCCAGCAGGGAAAGGCGAGCCCGGAAGACCAGAGAGAGGCTCTGTGGTGTCAGGCCCTCTCACCTCCCCAGCCTCTGGAAGGCTCCTCAGGAAGCACGACCTCTACACCACAGGGTCCAGGGAAGGCCTGGCTGAGGGACTCAGCCCATGTGCAGTCTCTTAGGGATGGTGACCGGGGTCCCCAGGAAGGTGTGGGCAGACCCGGCATCCCCAGCAGGGCACCAGCATCAGCTCCTCTTCCTCTCCTGCCCGGCCCCCAGCAGGGAGGAGCAGCCAAGAGCAGGGGCCTGGGACAGAGCCACGCATGGAGGCGAGAGGCTATTGCTCCCCAGAGGCCTGGGTGGGCCTCCCTTCCTGGAGGGGAGGACAGGGGGACAGAATAACCCAGCCCGGGGCCTGCCCCCTCACTCCAGCAGCATCTCAGATGTCCCCGGAAGCTCCAGCTGGGGGAGGGTGGCCTCTGGGCTCTGCCTTGGCACCTCCTGGGGAGGCCTCTGGAGGGAGCCGGGAGAACTAGGCACCAAGTCCAAGAAGATGCTCAGCTCCGGCCGCTGCTGGGCAAGGCCAGGACTCTCCTGGTTCCACTCCAGCCCTTGCCGGGCTTCAGAGCTGGAGTGTGGCCGTCAGCGACTGGACCAGGCAGTGCCTCTCTCTGCCCCTGTAAGGACTCGCCGCAGACAGACAGGAGCCAGAGGAGGCAGACGGGCGGTTGTTCGGGTCTGCCTCTGCATAGATGCTGTGAGACGTGGAGCCGAGACCTCGGGTCTGCTCAGGAAGGAGAGAGCACTGGACAGGGAGTCAGGGGCCTGGTGTCCGTACCTAGCTGGGGGCGAGGGAAAGCTGCTCCCCTCCCTGGGCGTGTGTCCTCTCCTGTGAAGTGAGGGGTGAAGAAGATGGTATATATTCTGAGGAATATGGGGTAACCGTTGGGGTTCAAACTGATGCAGCCTGAACTAAGGAAGCCTGGCTTATGGGGCTGTCATGGGGGCATAGTGGTTAAGTTTTGCTCCACTTTGGTGACTCAGGGTTCATAGGCACAGCCCTACACACCGCTCACCAGGCCATGCTGTGGCAGTGTCCCACATGCAACACAGATGTTAGCTCAGGGCCAATCTTCCTCAACAACAACAAAAAGAAGTCTATCAAACACACGTTGCACACCTGCGTAACCATCAGAGAGCGCACCCTCTGAAGACAGGAGTGCACCCTCCCCTCCTTCGCCCCATTGGTAATGCTCCCCATATTAATGCCTTTCCCTTCCCCACATCAGGTCACGTTGACCTGCTCATTTGCAAGTAAATACTTCTTTGAAACATTGAAAACGTCTCCTGGGTGTGTTGAACGTATGCTCTCCATTCTACAAGACACAACAGTGTCCTGAAAGCCACGCTTCCCTGGAACCCTTCCCTCTTCTCTGCAGAAGGCCTCGCGGCTCTAGTCCTCCCCCTGGCTCAAGTAAAACTCACCTTATTCCTCTCATTCATTGAATGGCTAGTGGTCATTCTGTGTCCACACTCCCAACCTGGTGGGGGCTCAGAGCCCTGGGGGATCCTGTTACAACCCCAGGGCCCAGAGGCACTGAATCACCCTCAGCAGGGGACCCTGGAGCCAGATGGCTCACCACACAGTCAGGGCAGGGAAGCACAGGCCTGCGTCCCCTCTCAGCTCGTGTGACTCTCTTTGGCTCCTGCGTGTCGGGCAGTGACCATGAGCGAAGCCTGAGAGCCCGGAGCCATAGGGCCCATTCCTGTCTCCACCTCAGAGCTGAGGACACTACACTGAGGCTCAGGGAGGCGTCACAGCATGCCCACGCTACACGGCAGGTGAGAGCGGAATGGAACATGCGCCCAGGGCAGTCGCTCCCTGGACCCGTCTCCTTGCTGTGTGTAACCTGGAGAGGGGGATGACAAACCCCCTGGCAGCCCGTGCGGACATGAGGGCCCTGGGGTAGGAACCAGAAGCCACTCTTAGAAAGTTAGGGGAAGAAGGCACCACAGTGGTCACCTAAGCCTGCTCCACTTTCAGAGATGGGGAAACTGAGGCACAGAGAGGGAATGCCCTGCCTGATGTTACAGAGCACCTCAGATGGAGGCCCTGCATGTGGCCTAGAGCTCAGGCAGCCCGTGCTCTGGTCTTCCTCCCCGTCTTCGCCCGGCACCGTCACAGGGCCTCCCTGCTCAGCTCCATCTCTGTGAAGCAGCCAGAGGGACCTAGAGCGGCTCCGACCAGCTCACCCCTCCCCAACCTCCGTCCCTCCCCATCACCTTGGAAACAGAGGCCCACACCCCACCATGCAGGGCGCCTCGCCACCCTGCCTCCGAGCTCCTTTTCCAACTCTATCCGTTCTTCTCCCTCAACTCTAGACGTTTGCCGCTTGTTTCAACCTGGCTCAGGCCGTTTCCTCTGCCTGGGTCACTCCTCCCTCCCTCCTCCTGGCCAACTCCTGCACACCCCTCAACACCTGGCTCCAACACCTGCGACCCTCCCCGACCCGTGTCAGCAGACACAGAAGGAAGTCCCCCACCGCTGGTCCTAAGCCCACGGCAGCCTTTGCTGGTGCATCCCAGCATCCTCCCCGGGCTCCTGGAGGGCCTCTTATTCTTACTCGAGGCAGCAGGACTGATGGATCAGGGACTCAAGAATGAGACCAGCTTGTCAACCGTCTCCCTCCAGGATGTCACATCCTCTCTGATCCCAAAGTACCTGGTATACCACTGCCCCCTTGATCTGGGCTCTGATCGTTACTTCCCTGTAACTCACTGTTAGTTGGGCAATGCTGCTCTCTGGCACCTAATCCTGGGTGTTGTGGGCTGAACTGTGTTCCCCTCAGACTCAGGGTGAAGTGCTAACCCCCAGGACCTCAGCATGTGCATGTATTTGCAGATGGAGCCTGTGAAGAGGAAATTAAGGTAAAACGACGTCACACGGATGGGCCCTGATCCAGTGGGCCTGGTGTCCTCAGGAGAGGACATTAAGACGTACACACAGCCTTCAGGAGCCCGTGTGAGCACGCAGTGAGAGGCGCCGTCTGCAGGCCAAGGAGGCCTCAGAAGAAACCAAGCTGCTGACACCTTATCTGGGCCTTCCAGCCTCCGGAACCGTGGGAAATACATTTCTGTGGTTTAAACCATCCACTTTGTGGTACTTTCTTGAGGCAGCCCTAGCAACCTAACACACTGGGCCTAGCATGCGGGAGCCACTCCCGAGCATCCTTTGGAAACGATTTCATATAGTCATGAGAGAGCCCTGCGGGTCAGCAGGAATGCCCCAGAGGAACGGGAAGGGCAGTGGCCGTGGGTCTGAGGCAAGTGCACAGGCCCGAGTGTGAAGCCGCCTGGGCCACCTGCACAGCAGGCCAGATGCAATAAAGACCGTCAAACCACCAAGTGAGGCCCCCCTCCGCCCTGGAAGGCCTGGAGTCCAGGAGGGGAAGAGCAGCGTGACTTTTCCCCACAGGATGGGAACACTTCTTTTCCAGAGGCAACAAAAACCCAGGTTGGTAGAAGCAAAACAGATCAAGCCAGATTTTTGGTGTTCTGTTTTCAAGTACAAAATCAAAGCATATCAGCGTCTGCCCTACCCCCACCCTGAACCCGCTCCCCTCCCAGTCCAGCCCGGCCACTTCTCGGTCAAGCAGCCACTATGTCACTGCAGCTCAGGCTGTGTTCTGCAGAGCATCCGTCGTTCTGGGGGAGTCTGGAGTGGCGGGCACTGCTCCAGCCCTGACTCCAGCCGGGAGGCCACCCACGACCTGTTTCAATCACTTCTTCCATCAGACATCACGTAGAAAAGGAGCCTTGGCCAAAGGCAAGCTGGAAAACCACTGAGGTAGGCAGTGAGGAGGGCGCCCCACACCTCAGGCCTGACTCCTGGCTGAGAAGGGGCAGGCCAGGCCGTTAGGAGAGGATGCCCAGGTGGGCCCCCTCCAGCTCTTCCTGCCAAAGTTCAGGGCAGCCACTGAGCTGCAGGCCTGAGCTCTGGGGAGGGCTGTCATCACTGAGGCAGAAGGCGGGGCCCGGGCCCAGGTCCTCCAAGTGAGCCAGCACCTCTGCACTGTGGCTCCAGCATCCGTGCTGGGTCTGAGGCTGGAGTCTCTGGCATGCTGGGCGGGGCAGAGTTTCTGGCAACAGACAGGCCTCCAGAGACAGAGAGATACCCTGCAAGAAAGACAAGAGCAGCTGGTTGTGGGCCACAGCCTGAGGCCCTGAGATCTGGAGTGGACGCTCCCCAGAGGGTGCCCGGCAGTTCCTGAACAGCCCGGACGCTATGGACGCCCTGGATGCGGGGAGGCAAAGTGATGCTCAGAATTGGCGCTGGAGATGCGCTGCCGGGGTTCACTCCCAGCCCTCCTCCTCTCTAGCTACGGGAACTCAGACGAGCTCTCAGTCTCTGTTTTCTCCTCTGTAAAACGGGGATCGTGGAAGGCTGAATGAGTTAATACCTGTGAAGTGCCAAGAATGGTAAGCCTTCAGTAAACTTTCGTTATTAATAGGCTCTTTTCTGCGGCCCATGAATGAACGAAGCTTGAAGAAAACATGGTCACCAGCTCCAAGCCCATCTACTCAGGAAGCCCCTACCCCCCGGGCCGGCTGGGTCCTCCTTCCCTCCACACTCACTGGAGCACCTGGAGCCAATTTCCTGACAGTGGCCCCTGCGGCCTTCCGTCCTGGCCTCTGCAGCAAGTCAGAGGACTCCCCCTTCTACACGTCTATAAAGACTTCTGGATACAAGTGAAGGGGCCTTAAATCCCCAGGGCCCCACCTCTTCTCCAAGGAGGCCAGGGTCCTCTCCATCCTCCCTAGAGCTTCTCTCCACCCTAACCAGCGTTGGATTAGATAACCCCGGATCTAAAAACTGTTCTATTCTCTGCGGACAGAGCCTTCCCAGCCCCTCCATTTCAGGTGGAAGCCTGGGGACCACCCCGCGGGAAGCAGCGCTGGCCTTGGCGGCGCGTACCTGGTACCCCGCAGCCAGCTCCGGGGCCGCGGGGGGCGGCGTCCAGTACGTAGCCTGGCTCCTGGGCTCTGGGCCCGTCCGTGCTCCCGAGCAGACCTGGGGCGGCGTCCAAAGGGCCGCGTCGGGGGCTCTCCCTTGAGACAGTTGCGGGGGCGACTGCATCCCAGCGCAGTAAGGGGGTGTCACCCAGGGACCCATATCGGGGATCCTGTTCCCCAGGAGCTCGGGTGCCGCCGGGGCCCCGGGGCCGGCGGGCGGGGAGCCCCAGGACACCGCGGCGCCGGCTGTGGAGCCCAGGCCCGGGCCGCGCGTCTGCGTCTGCGTCTGCACCTGCGCGGGGCCGCCGTCGGGGCAGAGCGGGCAGCCCCGAGGGCGCGGCGAGGCGCTGGGCCGCGGGCACCGGCGCCGCAGGCTGTCCTCGCTGAGGCCCAGCACGGCCGACAGGTGGCCGATGTAGCGGATGGCCAGGCGCAGCGTCTCGATCTTGGTGAGGCTCTGGCCGGCGGGCGCCACCGCTGGCGGCAGGAAGCGGCGCAGCTCGTGCAGCGCGCGGGCGAGGGTGCGCATGCGCAGCTTCTCGCGCTCGCTGGCGCTCTGCCGCGGGCCGCCGGCGGCTCCGGGCCGTGCTCGTGCGGGCGCCGTCGGGGCGGCCTCTGCGGCGCGGGCTGCGCGGGCTGCGCGGGCTGGGGGCGCGGGCTGCGGGCGGCCGCGGGCGCCGTCGCAAGGGCACGAGCCCGACGAGTCGGAGGAGGAGGCCGGGGACGTGCAGTCGGCGTGGCCGGCCCAGCCCCAGCCCTGGGGCGAGAGCCAGCGATCCTGGCCGAGGAGGGTCTGCAGAGGAGGGGACTGGGCCATGGCCGGCTGCGGCTCTGGGAGGCTGCCCGCCCGCCAGCTCCGGCCTGAGCTTTTATCGGGCCCGAGGTGCAAGGGGGCCCCCCACCAGGTGACGGAGAGGTGTCAAAACCCACAGAGCCAGGGAGGGTCTGGGCTGGGGGGCCCTGGGAAAGGGGGCCCATTTGCGGAGGTGTGGATTCTGACCCCTCGGTAAGTGTGTGAGGACGATTCGATTCGCATCTGGATGGAGCTGCTGAGCTTCTCACCCTGTCCCACCCCCTGCCCCGCCCGCTCAGGGTGAGTGCCCAGGAGCCAGAGGACCGTGGACAGTGGCATGGTCTGGAGGGGCTGGGCTGTCCCTCAAGTGACTCATGGACCCCTGGGAAGAGCGGCCGCCTCTCTCATCACCCGCCCCCGGGGGGCTGTGCCCAGTGACTTCCACCCAGGGCCTGCACGTTTGCTGGGGAGGCCTCCAAGGCCAGCCGCGGGGAACCCGGCCACAGTGCTGGCCACGGGGAGGAGGGGACACACGTGAACCTTCCAGGGTCCCCTGGAACCGCACTTGCTGATTTGCTGAGTGACACTGAGAAAGTCATCACACTGCACACAGTTAATGACAGTCCCTGGAAAACAGAGCATCCTGGAGAAGAGGAATGGGGTGCAGTGGGTGATGATGGGGGAAGGTGGACCCCCCAAGCAGGGCTGAGTCAGACCCTCTTTGTGTGCTGTGAGACCTTGGGCAAGTCACTCGATTCCTCTGAGGCTCAGGCTTCCTCATCCTCATAGCAGTAATGACATAACAGACCACCGGGGGTGGTGCTGGCACTAAGGGCACATCCACGGAACCGCCTCGTGTGGCCTGGCAAGTGGCGAAACGCTTGCTGCTGTCGTTTTATAAAGAAGGCACTTTCGTTTCCAGATGCTTGTAGGCATTATTCTTTTTATTATTTGTTTAATATTTAAATACTTAGCCGGTGGTAAGTGTCAGGCTCACCAGGCTGAACAAGCTGGTCGTGGTCTGTGCTTTTGTGAGGTTTCAGCCTTGGGGGAGAGACGGGTGTCAGGCTGCTATCTCGTGAGCAGCTCCACCACCAACTAGCTGTGTGTCCTGGGGCGGGGCCCTGAACCTTTCTAAGCCTGAGCTTCTCTATAAAACAGGCCTCATAATTAGAGCATCTACTCACAGAACTGCTGATACAGTCTCCTCGTACAAACTGTGACGTATGAAGTTTTAGAGTAAAAGCCGTCACTCCTCAGCAGTAATTCCAGGTTAGAGGCGGCGTCAGCGTTCTCGGTGATCTTGGGAGAAAGGCTGAACTCGGGGCTGAGGGCCAAACGGGGGCCCAGGACTGTAGAGTTTGGACCACAGAGGAGGAGAGGTCACGGCCGAGCATCGAGCCGTGAGGAGGACTTGGGTAGAGAGAGAACATTCTGGGTGTGGGAACCGCGTAACCAAAGGCCTGGCAGTGGGCCTCCCCCAGGTGCTTCGGGAGCTGTGGGAGGATGGTGGCGTGGAGAACTGGAGGGCCTTGGCTGGGGTCAGGCTAAGAAGCTGGATGTTACTCGCAAGGCCATGTGGAGCCAAGTGGACTTTTGAGCAGATGTGACATAAAAAAATCCGTAATCAATAAGTAAAGGTCAACACGATGATGTTTCAGGAACAGACTAGCCCTTGCCAGCCTGAAGTAGTAGGTGCCCAGTAGTATTTTTACGGCTGTTTTTAAAAATTAACTTTTAGTTACTCCAATGACATAACTAATCCATTCTCTTTGCAGAAATGGAAACACCGCAGATGGAGCTGGACTCCCTGTAACCTGTCCCCAGAGGTCACAGCTGCTGTTCTGTCGTCGTGTGTCCTTCCAGACCTGGCCCCTGCGTTCACGGGAACATGTGTGTCTTCAGAAAACACGCAGTGTAAGTGAGGTGACGTTATGGCATGTTGCCTGTAACTTGCTTGTTTTCACTCAACAGTGTATCTTAGAGCATTCCATGCCAGCGCATATTAGCTCAGTCGTAGTTGTCATAGTTGATTTAAATGTCCATTTTCATCATAGTGGGCAATTTTAAGTGGTAAGAAAAAAAATAAAATGGCAGGAGGTGCAGATAAACTTTCAATGGTGAAATTACATCACTTTCTTCAGGAACTTATTTTACGATATTGGAGAAAGTGTGCCCCAGTTACCACTCTGACGTTATGATGGAGCAAGGATTGACAGTGAACAACGTTGGTCACGACAACTGTTGTTTACTTTATTCCAGCTGCTGTGTTTGGGGAGAGGAAAGTTGTAGTTTGTCCGTGGCGCACAAAAAAGGTGGAATCCATTAACCCTGGCCTTGATTTCAAACAGGTTTTCTTTGGAAAGAAGCAGTTATCATGCAACGGTTCATGACTTAAAAGGGTGTAAACCCAGAGAAAAGATACTACTGCTTTTCCTAAGGGCAGCGGGGACTTAGAAACCAGGCAATCCTACACTTCTTAGGTTGAAATAATGGCAAATCATTTGTAATAAATCATCATATTCGTCCAAGGCTGCACAATACTATAAAATTTTGACATATTGTACTATCCTGGACTTTACTTACGTGTAATTGACAGTTGTGAACGAACTCATCAGGTTTCGTACATGTTTCTTGATCTGGATTCTGAAGGTTCTGATCGACGTGCTGTTGACACTGAGCTCTCTGACTCACCCTTTTAACTGCTGTGTAATATTCCATAGCGTGCTCATACCACAGTCAGTCCCTTATTGACGCATCTTTAGCATTTTTTAATTTTTGCCAAATAGCACTGCCTTGTGCCCGGGCAGCTAGAGATGCAGTGTTGGGATGGCCTTGTGATCTCCAGGAAGGTTCTGAATATCCACGATTACTCCTCTCTCCCACCCTCTACCCATTAGAGGCAGCCTGGAGGGATTTCCCAGGAAAGGGTCTAGGGAAAATGGGAATCCACGCCAGCACAGAGCTCTGCATGCTGTCCTTTCCTCTCCAGGACAGCCTGGCCCCCAGGTTGGGGCCAGCCCCAGAGCCCAGGCCCTGAGGGCTGTGGGATGTCAGAGCACGGGTTCTGGAATGGGGGCCCTTGGCCTGGTTTGCTGTGGCCCCCAGCTCTTCACGGGGCCTGCAGCCCGGGAGGCAGTGGAGTTTGATGGTCAGGAGGCCAGGCTGTGGGATCAGACAGACCTGGGCTTAGGGGCCCAGCTCCACCCTCACCGACCGTGAGAACCTGGGCAGCAAGCTTACCCTCACTTTTCTCCTCAGTTGCTGGGTAAATGAAGATGATGTGTGGCACGGCACTGAGCACAGAGCCTGTTTGTGGGCCCTGCGTTAGCCAGTTCGGGGCGGCAGAATGAAGCGGGTGAAGGACGAGGCTGGGTTCTGAGTAGGGGGCCCACATCTTCAGCCTTGGCCCTGAAGAAGGGCATGCCTTCCTTCTCCGAGACTTCCGGTTCCCCGCCTCCATTGCCAGCCTTTCTCCTCCGTGGACCCAGCATGAGGGTCCAGCTTAGCGGGTGCTGGGGCTCCTGGCCTGTGGCAAAGGGCCAGCAGAACTGTGGGGCAGAGGCTCTGGGAGAGCTCAGGTGGTGGGGCCGGAGCCAGGGCCAGCCAGCCCAGCCAAGGCCAGGAATGGACGGCTGGACCGGCTTGTCCTGCTGGGCCGGGTCCCAGCCCAGGTGTCCGTCCAGCTGGCCTCCAGCCTTGGCACCCACAAGCATCCATCCTCCTGTGCTGGCACTTGTCCCAGGTGCGGGGCCAAGGAGCTGGGTCCAGCCCTGCCCCACGGGGCTTCCACTTGGGCCATCTCTGCTCTGTTCCTCATCTGACTCACCTGTCGACAGGGGGGACGTCTGTGGCGATGTGCTGCTGGGTCAGGTGATCACCTCTGGGCCTCAGTGTGCCAGTGACACCAGGTTCACCCCCTCCTTCCTGTCATCGGAGGAGGCGCTGGCTTGTTCACGAGTGTGGCAGACACTTCTTGTTGCCCACCCGGGGTCTGTTTCAGCCTCTGTTCTTTCTTCCTTAATGACGAGACCCTGTGTTATTGTGGGTGGTGATCTGCCCAGCTGAAAAGCCTCAGTTCCCAGCCTCGCTTGCAGGTGGAACGGCCCCTGAGGTGTTGGTGGAGGTGTTGGACGGGGCTTCCGGGAAAGCTGCTTAAAGCAGAGAGGTGCGGTCCTGTGGCTCTGCCCTCTTATATTCTCTTCCTACCTGGACAACAGACACTTGAGCAACCAGTTTGTGAGCCTGAGGCAACGTCAAGGACAGAATCACACAGTAAGGATGGTGGAGCAAAAAGAAGCCTGAGGCCTTGATGACTACGTGGAAGTGCCACACTGGCCCAGCATGTGTACCCCGGAATTTCTTCATTGTGACAGAAAATAAATCACCATCCGGTTTAGGTTGCTGTCATGTTGGGGGTGTGCTGTGAGCAGCCCAACACAATTCCTGTCCACGAGAGTTAAGTTCCTAGGGTGTCGTCGTCGACAGTGGGGCCACATGAGCTGGATGGCAGATCGCTTAAGTGAATTCACGTCAGACTCAATGTTCCCGCAGATGGATGGACGGACGTTCACCTGGAAGAAGGTTCTAGTCATGTGCCACCAGATCTCTTCCGAGCCTCGTGATGAGCAACATTATGATCTTGAGTGAAGACGTGAACCGATCTAATTTGGGGTAAGATCCAAACCCGAGAAGTAAACAGGGTAACAGCCAGGATCCCAAGAGATCCTAACAAAGTGGGGCGGTGGGGGAAGGGCACATTTGTGTGGTGACCGATGGCAACTAGACTTCTGATGGTGAACACGGTGCAGTATACACACAAATTGGAATATAATGATGTACACGTGAAACAAAAAAAAAAGTAAATAAAGAGATCCTGACAGACCGGAAAAAGCTGTCAGTTCTCACAAGGTGGGACCAGCAGGGCCCTGTGCCCTCCCAGCTCAGGGTCAGGGGCATCCCGTGCCCAGCAGCTGTGTAGAGATGGTGTGACAGTCATTGCCTCCAGGCGTCCAGGTGTGGAAACAGTGGTGACCCCATTCCCTCTCACTGGTTCAGGAGGCCTGTCACCCAGGAGGGATGGTCTCCTGTTCCCTGCACACACACCCCCTTGTCTGCACACACACACACACCCTTCTCTGCACACACACCCTTCTTCTCTGCACACACATACACACACACACCCCCTTTCCCTGCACACACACAAACCCTTCTCTGCAAACACACACACACCCTTCTCTGCATGCACACACGCATGCCCCTTTTCTGTGCCCAGAGCTCTGGCGCAGCTGGGTGCCCTCTGGGGGCTGGGCCACCAGGCCCCCGGGACCCTCAGCTCAGCTCCCGGGCTGGCAGTGCAGGCTGGAGCAGGGCCAGGACAGGAGCCCCCTCAGCCTGGCCCTTCCTTTCCGTGGGTCCCTCCCAGGCCCGGGGGCGGCCAGGCTGTGGGAACGCAGAGTGGGGGGTGGGGGCACGGGCCGCAGGAGCATGTGCTCTTCTCGTCACAGCGAGCGTGTGGCCACCTTCACACCTCCGCTCTGCCTGTTGACACAAGGCCACCACCTCCAGGGCAGAAGGTGTCGACTTGGGAAAGTGGGTGTGCAGGGGCCCCCAGGACGCCAGGCCCTCAGAGCCGGGAGTGCGCTTCTGGGCTGGGAGAAGGGGCTGCAGACCCTGCCCAGGAGGCCCAGGGGAGATCAGGCCTGTGTCCCTGGGATGGGGGGGCGGTGGGGGAAGACAGGGGCCTGGACCGGCCCCTCCCTCCAGGAGCCCGGAGTCAGCCTCCCCTGGCCCGGGGGCTGGTATGTGACTCTCGGCACAGCCAGGGAAGCCCAGGGACAAGGCCCTGCCAAGCAGAGCACCATCAGTGTCACTGGGAGGCCCAGAGACGGACAGCCACCAGGATAAGGTCACCGAGTGGCCCCTGGGACTGAAGGCCACCCTGGGCGAGCCTCAGCCTGGCCTTGTCTTCAGAGCCCTTCCACACGGTGCAGTGCCCGGCCCCAACCCCGTGTCGTCCAGCCACTGTTGTCCACTGGCTCAGAAGGGGAAATGGGGCCCAGAGAGGTCACACCATTGCTTCAGGTCCCCAGAGCCAGGATTTGAACCCCCAAGGCCGTGCCCACACCACTGGGCAACACTGCCCGGGCCCACTGAGGCTCCAGGGAGGGGTGAGCTGCACTGCCCTTGGGGAGCTGGGGGTTGGAAGAGGGAAGAGGAATGAGTTGGGCTCTGAGTCTGTGGTGGCCTGATGTGCTGGGACCACGAGCGAGCGAGAGGGGCTCCCTGGCCCGAGAGCAGGTGGAGGAAGGGAGGGACCTGCAGTTGTGGACGTTCTCCCAGTGCAAGTGGGGCCTTCATGGAGAAGGGGACCATGTGGCCCACGTCTGGCAGTGGCGAGCCCTGGGCTAGTTTGGGCAGTGCCAGGTGGGCTGGAGCCCGGGGTGCAGGCGGGGAGCAGGGGAAAGGGGGCGAGCAGCAGGGAGGAGTAGGGGTGGGCAAGTCTTGCTGAGAGAGGAGTTCGGACTCTTAGGGAGGCGGCGAGGTCCCCAGACATTCTGAGGAAGGAGAAGGGCTGGGAGCTGAAGAGCGGGAAGCAGAGTGCCAGTCAGGAGAAGCATCACATGAGGGCCGGGCACCAGAAGGGGGGTCACATCAGGGCAGGGGCTGCCTGGAGCTGGGGCAGAGGCACCAGCAGTGGGGTCCCATGAGGGCGGGGGCTGCCTGGAGCTGGGGCAGGGGCCCTGGGATTGGGCCTAGGAGCCCTGAGGAGAGCACGTGGAGAAAGGTGGGGAGGATGTGGCCACTCTTGGCTGGGGAAGTGCAGGAGGGGCTGGGGGCCACAGGCGTGCGGGGAGCTGCCCAGCAGGCTGGGGACATGGAGGTGGACCCACTGCTCTCCCTCCAACAAGAAAGCTGAGCCAAGGAGGCTGGGGAGGAAGGGCCTGCCTCATGGCCCTGGTCCAGCTCCGGGGCCCAGCAGAGGCAGCTCAGGCCTAGGGCCAATCACGCCCAGCTCAGTGCCCATTTGAGACTCAGTCTCCTCATCTGCACAATGGGTGACCTTGCTGGGAGGATCGGGGAGCACCATGTGCTCAGCACATCAGGCTCCACACGGCCTGCCTGCCTGCCCTGCTGGAGAGGGACCAATGAGGTCTTGCCGCTCTTGAGAAGGACAAAGGGAGAGGGTGAGGGTGCCCAGGCCTGTGGCCCCCAGCCCTGGGAGGAGGGCCCAGCCTCCCCACCTCAGCTCCCAGAGCCATCAGGGGCTTGGGCCCATCTGCTGGAATGGGCACAGGCTTGGGGGTGGGTTCTGCAAAGGCTTTCTCCCCTCCCGCCCTTCCCTCCCTCTCTCCCTCCCTCCGTCCTTTCTTTTTTTAATTACCAAAGCCATGAATGCTTCTTACAAAAAAGTGGGAAAATATACGCAATCAAAAAGAAGGGAATTTTAAACACCCCCTGTTGCACCCAGCGAGAAGCACGTGCACACGTGGGCCCGCATCTCTGCCCCCTGAGCTTTCTAGCGTCCCTACAGATACATGAACAGAGACAGAGGCATCGAGAG